GAAGGGGTAAGAAAGAAGGGTGCACTGGGAGAAGGGGAAGGGAGAGGGAGAATGGGGAAAATTTTCTCATTAAAGAGGAATATAAGAGTTTTTACAGTGGAGGAGAAAATGGTCTGATCAATACAATGAGCCATGACAGTTCCAAAGGACTTGTGATGAAAAAATGCTCTCCGCCTCCAGAGAACCGATGAACTCTGAGTGCAAATTGAAGTATAATTTTCTCACTTTCTTTATCTTTTTTGTTTTGTTTTGCTATATAGCTAATACGAAAATATGTTTTGCATGATTTCACATGTATAATTGTTTGCCTTCTCAGTAGGTAGGAGAAGGTTAGGGGAGAGAGAGAGAGAGAGAGAGGTCCGAAACTCAAAATTTAAAAAAGAAAAAATATTAAATATGAATAATACAATTAAGAAAAAAAAAGGAAAACTCTGTTCATTTCCTATATTGTTTATTTCCTATGCTAGTATTTTTAGTAGGAATGGGTATTATGTTTTGTAAAAAGCTTTTTCTACATTACCTTAAATAATCATGAATTTTTTTGTGGTTTTTATTATTAGTATTGTCAGTTACATTTATAGTTTTCCTTATATTGAACCATCTCTGCATTCCTGACCAAGAACCAGCATTATCTGTAATGAGGACAAGTTAGAAGCCTTTCCAATAAGATCAGGAGTGAAACAAAAATGTTTATCATCATCATTAGTATTTGGTATCCAGCACTGATGCTCTTTGTGATATATTCTTGTAGTTTCCTTGCTAGTATTTTATTCTAAAATGTAAAATGTAATTTAGTTTAAAATTAGGAAAGTTGTTCTATAGTTGTTTGTTTTGGTTCTCCCTGGTGTAGGTATCAAGATATATTTGTGTTATAGAAAGAGTTTGGCAGGAACCCTTCTTTATCAATTTCTATTTAAACACTTTATATAGTATTAGAATTGAATGTTCTTTAAATCTTTGGCAGAATTCACTTGTAAATCCATCTCATCCTGGTTCTTTTTTTTTCCTTTGAGTGTTCATTTATAGCTTATTCAATTTCTTTTTCTAAGATAAGGTGATATGTGTACTCTATTTCCTGTTCTATTCACCTGGACAATTTATATTTTGGTAAATATTAATCGATTTCATTTATATTGTCATATAGTTGGGCAAAATAACTCCTAATAATTACTTTTATTTCTTCTTTGTTGGGTATGAATTTACCTTTTTCATTTTTGATACTGGTAATTTGTTGTTGTTTTTAATTAAATTAGCTAATGGCTTATCTATTTTTTTATTTTTTTCCCCCCAAATCCAACTCCTAGCTTATTTATTAATTCATTGGGGTGTTTCTTACTTTCTGTTTTGTTCATCTCCCCTTCAATTTTCAGGATTCCTATTTTGGTTTTTAATTGAAAGTTTTTAATTCATTGGTTTTCTAGTTTATTTTAGTTTTATGCCCAATTTGCTTCTCTTTTTTTATTGATGAAAGAGTTTCAGAATATAAATTTTCCCCAAGTACTACTTTGGCTTAATTCTAAAATTTGAGATCGTATTGCTACCTCTATCTTTTTTCTTTATCTGAAGTGTAATAGATTCTGCTCCAACCCCTTATTTAACTCTGTGTGTATCTTTCTGTTTCAAGCACATCTCTTATAAACAGCATGTTGTTGGATTGTGGTTTCTGATCCACATTGTCTTCCTCTTCTTTTATATGGATGAGTTCATCCCATTCACATTTACAGTTATGATTATTGACTGTGTATTTCCCTCCATCCTTTTCTCTTATGCTTATCTTCTCTTTTTTTCCCCTACTCCCTCTTTATGAATCTGCTTTATTTCTAATGCATTCTTTAACCTACCCTCCCTCTTATTTACTTCCTAACCCCTGTTTGGCAGGATGTATTTCTGTACCCAGTTGTGTGTGATTGTAAATTCTTCCCTCCTGTAGCTAGTTGAGATGAGTTTCAGCCCCCACTGCCACCTTCTTGTAATATAGACTCCTCTTTGCTCACCCTACTTATGCTAGGTGATTTTCCCCGTACTTCCTCTCACTTCTCCCCTGTCCTCATGAATTCCTCTTCCTCACCCTTTCTGTTCTTCTTAAGAGATCATCCCCCGTAACAGAATCACACCAAGCACTCTACTTAGACTCCGTCTAGGACTCCTGGTAAGGATAAAATGTTAAGGGACTGCATCTATCATCTTCCCACATAAGAATAAATGCATTTTAATTTTTAGTCCAGGGGTGGGGGACCTGCAGCCTTGAGGCCACATGTGGCCCTCTTGGTCTTCAAGTGCAGCCCTTTGACTGAATTAAAACTTTACAGATGGATTCAGTCAAAGGGCCACACTTGAGGACCTAGAGGGCCACATGTGGCCTCAAGGCCACAGGTTCCTCACCCCTGTTTTAGTCCTTTGTGATTTCTCACTTATGTTTATCTTTTGGAAATCTCTTTTTTTTTTTTTTGTTTGTTAATTTTTAGGCAATTGGGGTTAAGTGACCTGCCCAGGGTCACACAGCTAAGTAAGTGTCAGTGGCCAGATTTGAACTCAGGTCCTCCTGACTTTAGGGCCAGTGCTCTATCCACTGTGCCACCTAGCTGCCCCACTTATGTTTATCTTTTTATCCTTTTCTTAACTCCTATGTTTATCAGATTATCTACTCAGCTCTAGTCTTTTCATCAGGAGTGCTTAGAAGTTCTGTTTTGTTAAAGGTCCATTTTGTTTCCTGTAGGATTTTTGTTTTGTCCAGTAGGTTGTTTTTAAAAGCCTAAATCCTTTGTCTTCTGAAATGTTGTATAACAAGCTCTCTGTTCCTTTATAGTTCTGGCTAATTAATCATGTGTGATTGTGACTGTGGCTTCTTGGTACTTGAATTCTTTCTGTTGGATACTTGCGTACTTTTTTTCCCCCTTAACCTGGATTTTGGTTTTGATATTCCTGGGAGTTTTCATTTGGGTGTTTCTTCAGAAGGTGGAGTCTTTAAATTTCTATTTTGGCCTCTAGTTCTGAGATATCAGATAGTTGTATGATTTCTTGAATTAGGATGTTTTGTTTATGACTTTCAAGTAGTCCACTGGTTCTTAAATTCTCTCTCCTCAGTCTATTTTTCAGGTCATTTGTTTTTTCCTGTGAGAGCTTCACATTTTCTTCTATTTTTTCAGCATTTTAACTTTGTTTTATTCTTCTTTGATATCTCATGGAGTCATTAGCTTCCACTTGGCCAATTCTAACTTTTAAGAAGTTATTTTCTTCAGTAAGGTTTTGTACTTCTTTTTCTAAATTGTTAATTTTCTTTTCACATCTTTTTTCCCTTCCTTCCCATTTTTCCTATGCTTCTTCCTTTTGGTTTTTAAAATAATTTTTAGCTCTTTTTTAAACTTTTGCTTCAATTCTTCTAGGTAATCTTGTTGGACTTGTATCCAAGTTGCATTTTCTTTGTGTCTTGCTTTGTAAATTTTTTGGGAGGGAGTCTTCTTTTCTTCTTTGTATCCTGAGCATCACTCTTGTCATAATAACTTTTTTTAAATTTTTTTTTATTTTTTGGTGAGGCAACCAGGGTTAAGTGACTTGCCCAGGGTCACACAGCTAGTGAGTATCATGTGTCTGAGGCCAGATTTGTACTCAGGTCCTCCTGACTCCAGGGCCGTTGCTCTATCCACTGCGCCACCTAGCTGCCTCTCATAATAACTCTTTATTGTGAGATTCTCTTTTTTTTGTTTGCCAGTTTCTTGACTTTGGGTTTTATGTTAGTGCCAAGCTTTGTGTATTTCTGGTGGGGAGATGTTTGGCCTGAGCTTTTGACCTTTTATGTCCATCTGCTGCTTTCACAACTCCAGCTGAGGGCCTGCAAGCTTTCAGTGCCCCTCAAAGCGATGTAATCCAGAGCAAGGTCTGCTCACTACCTCCTTGTCTGAGCTCTGGATTTGGGTCTGTTGGCTGGTCGCTTATCGGGAGTTTCAGCAGCCTGTTACTGGACTCAGCTGCTGTTGTTCCCCTGGGAGGTTCTGTGGGTTCAGAGTGACCTCCTGACTCCTCTTTGGTCTGGGGTGCTACTTTCCACTCCTAGTCTCTTGGGATCAGAGCCACACAGCTGCTTTTTGCTCCCCAGAACTTGTTTCTTGCTCCATACACAACTAGGACTAACGCACCTGTTTCTCTCCACCCTGTGACTCCATGACCTCAACTGGGTGTTGGCCCACAGAGCTGCCCAATGGCACCCGTTCCTGTACCCAGCTCTTGTTCAGTGGTCCCCTGAATCTCTTTCTGCTCTGGAACTTCCTGCCCTGGTACCTTTTCTTGACCATCTTTCAGTTGCTGGGCACTGAAATTCTCCTTGCTACCATTACTGCTTTTGCGTACACTCCTGGCCAGACCCACAGACCTCTCTGTCTGTCTCCTTAAACTACTCTGGGCTGGAAAAATTACTCCCTGTGACTTTTTCTTGACTTTCCTGATCAGCATTCAGTCTGATTCATCTTCTGAATCTTTGTTGAAGTATTGAGGGGGAGAGCTAGGCTCTAATTCTTCCTTTCCACCCGCCATCTTGATTCCTTCCTGCATAGTTGTTTTACAGCTCATTCCTTTAGTATAGTATAAAGGTTCACCTTTTCCAGCAAGGCATATGGATTTCCCCAGATGTTCCTTCCAGTGGGGTAGAGGGAGAAAGCTTCCCTCTCATTTCCAAAAAGCTGGTCAGTTAAGGTTTGGAAAGCATGTTGAAGATATTTTCTCATTTGAGCCTCACAACCTGGGAGGTAAGTGTTTTATTATCCCCATTTTACAGTTGAAGAAATTGGGACAAACAGTGAAGTGACTTGTCCAGGGTCACGCAGCTAAGAAGTGTTTGAGGTCACATTTGAACTTGGGTCAATGCTTCCCTAGCTCAGTAGATGGATAGGGTACTAGGCTCTTGGTGGCTGTGACATTAATGGTCCAGAAACCTGATGTCTGCTGTTGAGGTCGCGTGGTCTGTAAGGATGGAGTCCATTCCTAGCAGAAAGCTTTTCACCTTTCAGATGCGGTCTGAGGAGACAGCTGACTTGCTGGCAGAGAAGGCCCAGATCACAGAGGAGGAGGCAAAGCTCTTGGCTCAGAAGGCAGCTGAGGCTGAGCAGGAGATGCAGCGGGTCAAGGCCACGGCCATTAGGACAGAGGAGGAAAAGCGCCTGATGGAGCAGAAGGTGCTGGAGGCCGAGATGCTGGCACTGAAGATGGCCGAGGAGTCGGAGAGGAGGTGAGCGGGGCGGCAGAGCTGCTTGTCTCCATGTTCCCAGCAAGCTGATAGGCCCCTGCGCTCCCACGGTGGCCTTTGCTTTGATGGCCGCATGGTTGGTTGGGGTGGTCAGCCCTTGTAGTTTCTGCCTTATTCCAGCTCAGGGCTTGATTGGGGTTGGTCTCAAGCTCCTTAGTCGCACTGTTATGATATTGTGGGCGGAGGGTAGCAGCCTGATTCTCCCCTCTCCGGGGTGGGTGTCTCTGTCACCTCTGAGGTGAGAGGGCCTGGGGATGCAGGCAGTTTCTCGTGGGGAGGAGGTGACATTGGCTTGGGACAGCTGCTGGCTTTCCTGTAGCACTTTAAAGGTTTTAAATCACTTTCTTCCAGTGAGCTGAGCAGGTATTATTGTCCCCATTTTACAGAGGAGAAAAATAAGGCTCAGTGAGAGGTTCAGTGACTTGCCTAAGGTCACACAGTTGGTATATGACAGAAGCAAAATGCAAGGCCATTTCTTTTGACACCAGGCCCAATGCTCTTTCCACCACACCTCAGGCATGAGGGCAGTTTTTGCCAACCTCTCTCTCTCTGAAGTTCCTGTTTGTTCACGTTAAAACAAATTTCTTTTTATTCCAAATTATTTTCAGATTTACAGCTAAAGGAAAGTGTGTCTTTTTATATGTAATGGGAAGAAATACCCTTCCCCATGCTGTTTGCAAAATGACCTTGATTCTCAGGGCAGGAAACAGGATCTTTGGAAGCTCTGCTCATTCCTAGTTAAGCTGCAGGCCCTAACCTGGCACCCTGGCTCCCCTACAAAACCGTGTCTTTCCTCATCGGTCTCCCCTGACCACTCAGCAGCCACGAGCTCCCCTTCGTGGCTCTGGCCTTTTGTGTTTTGCCAAGCAAGGATTCCTGTGTGTCAGGCCAGATGTAGAACTTTGGCCTGGGATACATAGTGCCACATCCTCTCACAGCCTGTGCCAAAGGAGGCCTCAGCGTGGCTCTGTCATAGTGGATGGAGCGCTGGACCTGGATTCAGGAAGACCTGGGTTCAAATTCTGCCCCAGTCACTTCCTAGCTATGTGACCTGAGCACATGTACTAATACAAGTATATTAAGAAACACAGAGTACGGGCAGCTAGGTGGCACAGTGGATAGAACACCGGCCTTGGAGTCAGGAGGACCTGAGTTCAAATCCAGCCTCAAACACATAACACTCACTAGCAGTGTGATTCTGGGCAAGTCACTTAACCCCAATTGCCTCACCAAGAAGCAGAACAAAACAAAAAAAAAAAAAAAAGAAACACGAGTAATTTTGGGGAAGGAAGCACATAGCTGAGTGGGAGAGAAGAGGCCTGGCAGTGGACACAGGAGGCAGGATGAACTCAAAAGGAAGCGAAGGAAGTTGTTATTACTCAGGTTCCCTTTCAGCACATCTGGTACCTAGTAGTCTTTGCCCAAAAGGCCAATAATTTTGTTGCCAACCTTTTTTTTTCTCTCCACTCTTAAGTAAATTTCTTCGTATCACCCACTCTAATTTCCAGATATAAAGTTCTGAACTTGAGTCTTAAAAAAAAATCATCTGAACCATTACAGAATGAACAAGACAAGGTTAGGAAGCAGTCCATGTGCAAAAGACCTTGAGGTCTTTTCAGATTGAAAAGTGTTAGTTTTGTGATGTGGGAGTCCAAAAAGCTCATACAGACAGGAGGCCTCATTCATAGAAAGCTGATGGTAGTTTCTTTGTACCCTGGCCTGATGAGACCCCCCTCTGTGTAGTGTTTCCAGCTCTGGGCTCCACATTCGAGGCAGGACATTGATAGCCAGGGTGCAGGCTGAGGAGTGGGCTGGGGACCGTGCCGTGAAGATTGGTTGGAAGAACCAGCAGTCAGCTTCAGAAGGTGGAAGTCACAAAGAGGCAGTATTGGTTCATCCTGACAGTGAGGGAGCGGAGGGAGCTCCTCTGGGAGGGTGCGAGGTCCCAGGCCCGGCTTCTCCAGTTGGAGGCTGGCTGCTGGTTTGTCAGCGACGTCATAGAGTGAGGTGGAATGGTGGTGAAAGTGAGAGGCTTCCTGGTCTTGTGGCCAAGGAAGGTGGCCCAGCCTGTGAATGTAGGATGGAGATGACAAAGCCCCCTAGGCTACAGGGCCCTGAGGACCCTGAGACACAGTGGGTCTGTTGTGACTGGAACCCCAGCATCAGGGGCCTAGCAGGCCATTGAGTCCGACCCCCTCATTTCACAGGGTCAGGAGTGGGCACTCAGAGAGACAAAGGAAGTCGCCCCAGCATGCTTCGGTCTTAGGGGCTGAGCTGGCATTACAGCTTGTCTCTCCCTTCACCTCCTGCTCCCTGGAGGTTGGGTCTCATTTCTTTCTGCTTCTCTCTTCCCGCCAGAGCAAAGGAGGCCGATCAGTTGAAACAGGATCTCCAGGAGGCCAGAGAGTCTGAAAGAAGAGCGAAGCAGAAGCTCTTGGAAATCACCAGCAAAGCTTCCTACCCGGTGAGAGCCACACACAGAAGGGCCGCTGGGCCTCGGGAGGGCTGAGCTGTGGGGCAAGCCTGTCCCCAAGGCATCAGCTCTTCCACTCGTAGCCAGGAAGGCTGCCCCGTGGCCCCAGGAGCAGAGCCCTGGGGTCCTCGACCTGCCTCGGACATGCGGCCTTGGCCCCTCACTCTGATTTCTCTGTCTCCTCATTTGTAAATGAGGAGACAGGGCAGGGTAATCCCCATCCCTTCCAGCTCTCAAGTCTCTGGTCCTGTCACTCTGCATCTTGAATCCCAGAGGGAGGCATTCGTAAGAGTCTCCTGCCCACCCTCGAAATGCTGAGCTGCTGGGCAGTGGGTCAATGGCCAGAGACAGGAGTCCCATGAGTGCGAGCTTCATTGGCAGTGTCTGCCCCTGCTCCTTGAGTCGCTTTTAGCGATGGCATTGGTCAGCCTGCCTGGCTTGACCAGGCCAGCTTCGAGCTCTTGGCTTTCGAGAAGGGAGGCAGAGGGTGGGAGCCCTGGTTTCTTTCTCTTGTTGCCGTCTTACTCAGGCTGTGCCAAGAGATGATTGAATAAGATGGAACCCTTTGTACAGTCCAAGAGACTCACCCATTTGTTCAGTCACCTTTTTACGAGCTGTTGAGTTAGTTTCTGCAAATACCATTTTTTCAGGGATTGGGGAGTCATTGGGAGAGGAGGTGTCGGAGAAGCTGTAACAATGACATTTTCAGGGCATTCAGGAAGTAGGCTGACCCATTCCCAAGTCCTCACCCTTCAACTGTCCGTCCATTCCTGAGCTTCCACAAACCCACGCCCCCCCATTGTTGTCCCTAGCACCTCCTGCTGTTTCAGGGTTCCATCTAAACAGAGCTCTCTCCTCAGCCCCCGGTGAGCTCGAGCACCACAGCCCTGCCGCCCGATGTGCCTGGCTTCGGGCTTATTGGCGAGAGCCTGTCTTTTGACTTTAAGGACACTGACATGAAGCGACTCTCCATGGAGATTGAGAAAGAGAAGTAAGTCACTTACTCGTCTGTGTTCTGTGTGGGGCAGCCCGGAATGATGGATTTGGGTTTGATGAGTCTAGACCTTCTCCAAGTTGCTTTGGAACATGGTGCGCCAGAGCAGTCCCGGCTTCCGTGAAGCATCTGTTCTTTTCCCCCCTCCTGGGAGCGAGCATTTCCTGATCACAAGTTAAAGGTGACAGATGCCCTTCCCACCTGCCAAGGGACCAGAGGACTGGGGGGTCAGGCCACACCTTTGTCAGCCACCTGAATGATGACGCCCACGGTGCTAGATGGTTTTTTTCTCCTGATCACATTCTTTGGTGCCAAGTAGGACCCCTCTAGACTCTTTGGAGGACTGATGTACCCATGATTAAGGCTCACCTGAAGGGGAGCTTCCCCTGGCCACAGACGGCCAGTGGGACTCAGGCCAGCAAAGTTGTGCCCAGAGCCAGGCTGCCCTTGGCCCACGCCGTTCTCCATCCCCTCCTTCTACGGTTGGGCAGGCTGCGGTGAGCAAACACTGGGTAACTTGCTAGTGGTAGGACCCCAAAGCAGTCCTGGCGTGGAGAGGGTCTGCATAGGCCCTCCCTGCTGGGGCTTTTGGAGTGCATGTAAGGTGATGGAGCCATCCTCCGCAGCTCCTCATTCTTACAGTAGGATGCGGGCACGGCCTGCCGGATCGTGATGATAACCTGTGTGGTGAGCCAGCCGAGAAGGCGTCTGGCAGCCTCTGTCTTAGGGGGCTCCCCCAGACTGGCTCAGACATCCAAGAGATGTCCGACACATCCGTTTTCCTTGGTTGGATAGAGGAGGGCTCCGTTGGGTGGGGGTCTCTGGAAGTTACCAGTGTGCAAAGCACAAGGCGTCAGCACTCTGGAGAAGCTAATGTGAGCGTCTTGGGGGTCACGGGCATCTTGCCCGGGAGCGCCCCTCCTTCGCAGCAGTGACAACAGTCTGTCTCCTTCCTGGCAGAGTGGAGTACATGGAGAAAAGCAAACACCTGCAGGAGCAGCTGAATGAGCTGAAGACCGAGATCGAGGCCCTAAAGCTGAAGGAGAGGGAGACGGCCTTGGACATTCTACACGGCGAGAACTCCGACCGGGGCAGCAGCAAGCACAGCACCATCAGAAAGGTCGGTGCCGCTGAGGCCACTATGGGGGAGGTGCCCGCTGGTGGTGCCAGCAAGGCGTCTCAGCTGGCAGCAGCAGCTCGTGGAGGCGCTGGTTTGATGGGAAGTCGAGTTGGTGTTACGAGGTCCTGAGAACAAGGGATCCCACTGGGGGAGAGCTCTGCAGCCCCCACCCCCCTTAGCAGGAAAGCCAGGCTGGCGCTGGGGGAGGGGAGCCGCCTGCCCACCGAGAAGGAAACACCAGAGTGAGGGCACTGAGGACGGAGCGCCCCTTTTGGAGATGTTTGCAGAGGGGGAGGGCGGCTTGGAAAGCAAAATTCTGAGCTGCCTTGAGGGTGTCGAAATGCAGATTAACCTACTCTGACCAGAGCTGTGCTCTACGTGTCACGGTGTCATGTGCTCCCGGTCCCCAAGAAGATAACCAGTCAGAATCATGATTTATTACTTTGTTTTTCCCTTGGGTTAGACAGCTCAGTTGACCCCTTTTTTGTCCAGTTTGGTTGGATGTAGAGAGGCCACAGTGGTGTCAGGAAAAGCCCCCTGGCTGGCTCTTCAGCCGCCCGCCCTCCCCCAGACCTCAGTTTGCCCATCAGTAAGATGGTCAGATGGACACCCATGGGCCTCGTTGCTCTGCTTGGCTTGAATATGCGCCAGATTTAGCCTCGCGTGCCCCTCCCCTTCAGAACGTCACAGTAAATCTCTGTTGTAATTGTTCCAAACTGGTGAAGTTGTGCTGGTTAAGTCGTAGCCCTGGGCGCAGAGGCCTGCTGCTGTCTTGCTCAGGTGAGGCAGGCCTCCTTTTCGCTCTGTCTGTCAGAGCGTCCGAGACCCCCGGGAGGGAGCCTCCATGGCCAACGAGTCCAACTCCCGCTCATTTTACAGTTGAGGAAACTGAGGCCTGGGAAGCGGGTAGCACTTGTTTGAGGTCATACACTCAGTCAGCATCAGAGGCAGGTTTTGAGCCCAAATCTTCTGACTCCAGAGACTGTGTTCTTTCCCATATACCGTTACCTGTCTCATCCAGCTGGTGTTACCAACCAGTCTGTAGTTTCAATATTGGTGGCTAATAATCTGGAGCCCCAGCTCATTAATATTTGGCTCTTTATTGTAGAGTTGGGCAGCCAGGGGACACCACAGTGCATGGAGTGCCGGGCCTGGAATCAGGAAGACTCATCTTCCTGAGTTCAAATCTGGCCTCAGACACTTACAAGTCGTGTGACCCTGGGCAAGTCACTTCACCCTGTTTGCCTCAGTTTTTCGTTAGTAAAATGAGCTGGAGAAGGAAATGGCAAAACACTCCAGTGTCTTTGCCTAGAAAACCCTAAATGGGGTCATAGAGATCCAGACATGACTGAAAAACCGAACAGCATTGATCTTAGAGTTGAGAATTGCTCTCCAGTTGAGATGTCTCTTTGTTTCTGTATTTAAAACTGTCCTTTGGAAATCTTGAGTGATGTATGTCAGCTTCTGGGGAAAGCCCTGCCTCCTTCCCCATGGGCCTGAGGGGATGCAGCCAGAGAGGGGGTGAGAGGAAGAGGCCAGCTCCCTTTACACCTCTCTGGTCTTCGTCACTCTCTGGGATTCCCCTTGATAGCAAAACCCCAAAGCAAGTTAGCGAAAGGGGCAGTAACCAGGCAGTTGGGGAGCCTCAGGCTGTAAGCAGTGAAGGGAGCCCTGAGCCAAGCAGCTCCCAGCTGCTCCTGCCTCCAGCCTGCCACCCCCTGACTGCTTCGCCCCACGAGCCCCTTAGCAGGCCGGAGCCTGGAGCAAGCTGTCAGTGTGGCATCAACAAAGGGGCAGTGTGGCAGCCCTCGGGGTGAGCGTTCTGCAGGCTGCAGCCCAGTAGCACTGCTCATATCACACAGGTGTGTTCTTGTTTTCTGTTTCATTTTATTTTGCTGGTTTAGCCTCAAGCCCAAGGCAGAAGACCTATCTGCATTTGAGCCTTCCAAGTAGGTTATTCCAAGGTACTCTGTGTGTGGTGATGGGACTGCCGTCTGTAACACTAACCTGTGCATGAGCTTGCCTGTCCTGGTGCTCCGGGACGTCCTCCCTCCCCGCCCCCCAGGGCACTGGGCCCCCGGGCGACTGCAGCCACTGCATGCTTGGTCAGGGGCGAGTTCTGAAGTGCCCCAACCCCCTCCCCCAGAGGCGCATGCCGTGGAGTCAGCAGGCCTGACCCCTCCTCTGGGGGCTCCAGCTGTGTCTGCTGCACTGTATCAGAGAGTCCTTCTGTGGGGGTGACATCACTGGCATGGAAACTGGTCAGGTGGGAACTTTGACCCTTCTCTGGGGAGGGAGGGAGGGGTGGCCGCCCAGCCGGTGAAAGAAGAGACCACCCTTGCCTTCCTTCTCGGCACGAGCATCTGTTCCTGCCAGAGGCTTTGAAGTACACTGATCTCGTGGCATCTGAGTTTGGGGGCCTTGGTGCCCCCACCAGAATTCCAATGGGCATCTTCTCTGAAGCGGGGAGTTAGCTTGTGGCCTGAGTGCATTGAGATTGAGGACAGTGTGGTCACTGTTAGTTCTGGACAGGCCTGTGCACACAGTAGGTGCTTGATAATGGCTTGTTGAGTGAAATGATCAACTTGTTTGGGCTGAATGATGTCAGAATTCCCTTTTAGCTCCCACGTTTGGGGAGACTATGATTATGGGCCTGCAGTGCGCTGTGAAAGGCTTCTGACAGAAACCCAGCCATCAGACTGGCCGTGGGCCTGGGCAGTAGGGTAAAGAATTCCCAGGAAGCTGTCTGCCTGGCATCCTAGGGAAGTAGCATCATGCAAGGGGCAGGGCCCTGGTTGTGCTGTCAGAAGGCCTGGGTTCAGAACCTCTCTCTGTTACTTAACCCTTGTTTAGGCCTGAGCAAGTCTCTTTCCATCTCGGGCCTGTTTTCTCCTAAGGGGCAGGGCTGGACAAGAGGAGCCCTAAGATCATCTTCATTCAGCTCTGAATTCTGTGAACTGCCCACCCCTCTTCCCTTGCCCCCCTCCAGATGCCAGTTGGCTTCCATTCGTGTGTTCATGCTGGCCATGAGTGGTACTGAGGTTGAGGGGAAAATGAATCCATTATTATCACACTCTTTATTGTGAAACAGAATTTGTTGGGTTCATCTGGCATCCCATGGGAGGCAAGCCAGTTACTCAGGTACCAAGGAGACCTTATGCTGAGGCCCCTGATCTGGGAGCAGCTTCTGTGGTATGACCCCCAGCACAGCCCCGTAGAAGAGCTGGACAATCCAGTCTCTAGTCCTGGGTTTCCTTATGGCTACCGTCCATGAAGTGCCCCAAAGCCAAGAACTAGAGAGTGCAGGGCCAGGATGAGCCTCGCCATGGAGGGGCAGTGGGCAGGAACCACGTTACCCAGAATGCTCTGGGAAGGGAGTCTTGTAAGTTTTCTGATTAACTCAAGGTTAGGTAGAAAATGCTTTTTGTTTGGATCCTCGTTGAAAAACTTCATAAGATAAAGTCATCTACTTTTTTGGCTAAGTACAGTAAACAGAAGAAAATTGAATTTTGGTTTTGTTTTTTTTTTAATTGATATAGGCTCTTCAGATGCCTCAAGGCTGTGATTTTCAATGTCATTTTCCTTGGGCAGTGTTGTAGCCACAGAAGGAAAAAAGGAATGGACTAAAACTGTCTCTGATCTTATGTCATCCTCTAGATAGAAGCTTAAAGAAGTATATAAGTCAGTCCCCGATATAAACTTGTTAGACATTTTCCTTCCTTCTGTCAAGATCAGAATAACCACAGGAAAAAAGGATAAATCCAGCTAATTGGGGATTCTGGTTAATAGAGGTTTTACTATTGCTTAGAAACTTGGGCCTAGTTTATATTTGGCTATGGTTGCCTCACCATCTCTAATTAAATAGTAGTTGTTTTGGCCACGTTTGTAAAGTTTGATGCCCTCTCCATTTTGTGGGGTCTAGCTTGAACTCTCCTATAGCCAGGCTTGCCTGGAGATTGGCCAGGGCAGGTGAATGGAGGACGGCCATTGGTGATCTCCATTAAAATCACCCCATGTTGATTTTTTCTGTTTTTCAGCCTTCGATTCATAAAACTAAAGTGTTTTCTACCTGACCACCTCTCGCTGCCTATTGTGGCTTATAGCTGTCAATGCTCTCTGCTCTCTTGGGTGTCCCCTTCATTGTGAGGTCAGAATGTGGGAACTTCTCTCATCCATAGTCTTTGGGGAAGCCACCAGTTCAAGGGGCTGACCTTTCTTCTTGAGCTGAGAAGTGATTTCTTGGTGGTGGCCTTGCAGGGAAGACAGCAGCTTCAGCTGGGGAAGGAGAAGGCATTTTAAAGTAGATGGGAGGTGGGGATCCAGATGTACCATTTCCTCCTTGGGTCTGAGTAAGGTAATTCAGTCTTCAGAGCAGAGCCTGGGGTCCTGAGAGGTCCAGGCCTGACCCAGGGCTGCACAGCCCCCATATGTCAAAGGCAAGACTTGACCCCAGGGCCTCCTGACTCCAGGGTTAGCCCTCTATCCACCCATCTACCTGGCCACTTAGATTTTAGGTTAGAGACTTTAAAAGGAAGGGGAGGCAGTGTGACTGGTACTAGTGGACTGGGACGTAATGTTATTGGGGTTTGGTGGGTGTATTTTCTGTTCTCTCTGCTTTTCTATACCAATTGGTTAGTATGACCGTGTTGGCCTTTCCATCTGAGTCAGAGTAATACCAGTGACGAGCCTTGTTTGTGATAGCTGCCTTTGGGGAAGCCACCATGGAGTCACTGTGGAGTGTGGGCTGCATGTGCACAGCACAGCTTAGGGCCAGAGCTAAAGGAAGTAGATTCCATTGTCTGGGAGGTGTTTAGCCAACATAAAAGGGTCTGAGGGCTGGCCACTGAGTGGTGGGGGAGATGATGCCACTGTTTGGGCTAAAATATCTCGCTAGTCCACGTTCTTCAGAAGCTACCCTGAAGCCCGCCCAAGGCTCTTGGAGAGGGGGCTCCCCCCAGGATGGGTTCCTTCCCAGGGTTTGCACTTGGACAGCTTATCTGAGTTTGCATGCTGACAAAATGGTCGGTGTTTTTGCATGTGTGATTTTTAATGGAGACCAAAGTAAGAGAGTGAGTGTCCAGAGGAAAAATAGTAAAGGTCTTAGGGTCAGAGGTTGATGGTAGGAGAGTCCCTTTTTAAAAAGCCAGAATGGTTTAAATCTCCTGATTCTGTCTTGAGCTAGGGTCTCCAGTTACAGGGTAGAACAAGGATGCCTCAGAATGTGTGACCAGCCTCTTCTGGGCCAGGAAGACATGAAAACACAATATCACTTTTAATTTTGTTAGAATTCACCTCTTGCTGTAACACCATTGGTATCAAATGAGACACCAGAACACCTCAGGAAATAATAAATCACAGAACGGAAATTGCATATTCGTGAAAGGCATCTACTGCAATTAAAACAAATGGCCACAGCCACCTTGGTAACCTCTGCTCTGCACAGCCTACTTTGAAGCTAGCTGCTCAATATTTTACGCTTAATTATGTGGTTAACATGTGAATCCCTCTTTCTGACTCAAGTGAATAGAGTTTCTGTGTCCTTCTAGACAAAGTGGTCCACCTTGGGGGTACCAATACAGGACCAGCATCGAGCATGGGGACCCAGTTATATATATGGCTGACCAAAAGCCCCCTCCAGGCTTTCCATCTCTTCAGGAGCAGTGGAGGACTCAGGAGTCCCTCTCCCTCTCCTAGCCAGGGCACTTTTGGTTGTTAGAGTTTAGTTTGGGCAAAGACTTAGTTAATTCCTCAAGACTTCTTCCTCTTTTAGAAGCCTACCCTTCTAGATATCCCCTGGTTGTCAGACCTTGGCCTTATTTTGTTTCTGGTAGCTCTCTAGATGACATCAGTAAGGAGCCTTGCCAAAAGATTAGGGGGATCTCTACCCAATCAAACTGGGTTTTCATTTATTGAGTGCCAACCGGTCTCCTTTTTCATATTTTGGTATGTTGGACTGGAACAAGAAATTACTTTGTTGTTTTTTTTCCTTGGATTTCCTCATCAGCATTTGGTTTGGTGCATTTTCTAGATTTATTTGGAAGAAGTTTTTTGGTGGAGGGAGCTCACTGTACTACTCCCTGCTCCTCTGCCATCTTGGCTTTGCCACCACTGGAGCTTTTAGAGCAGGGTGGTCCTGTGGTTAGACATGTGCTTTGGGAATGTGATTTTGGCATGTGTGTGTAGGATGGATTGGAAAGGAGAGAGATTAGACGAGTTGGCAATGGTTGTCCTGTTCTGGGCATACTGAACCGTGCTGTTCCATTAACATCCCACCCTCTCCCATCTCTGGGCCTTTGCTCACCCCTTTCCCTGAGCCTGAAGAGGACTCCCCTGTCAACCTACACTCTGCCTCTTAGCTGCTTCTACCTAGTTCTGACCTGTGGGGCCAAGCAGAGTCAGTCTGATCTTCCTTTGCCATCCCAGCCCTTCAGATACTTGAAGACGCTCTCCTGGACCTCATTCGTCTTTTCTTCTCTCTGTCACGCATCCTGACATTGCTTTGCCTTGTCCTCCGGGTCCTCACACTGTCCTGGTCACCCACTCTTGGGCACAACTCAGCTTGTCAACACCCCGCTTAAAATAGGATTCCAGAACTGACCACAATACTTCAGATGTGGCCTGGACTGTGGCCATGGCCTCTCGTCTCCCTCCTTGGGAGCCCCATGCCCAGCCTCACCAAGGTACTACCCCAGCATCTCCTTAGTTGATTGCCCTGTTATGTTCTTGACTCATACTGGGCCAGAAGGACTTTGCCTAATCTAGCTTGACCTCACCCAGCCTTTACCTGTAAAGTTGGCAGTTTGAGGCCAAGTGTAGAACTTTGTGTTTCTCTCCATTAAATTTTATCTTAATTTGATTTTTCCATAGTTGTAGCCTGTCAAGGCCTTTTTGGATCCTGGCTCTTATTATCCCAAGGATTAACCATCTCTCTGAGCTTCATGTCATCTGT